ATTCAGATCACGCACCAGGGCATGCATCGCGACAGTGGCGCCCGCCTCCCGGCAAGCTCTGGCCACCGCCCGCTCCAGCGGACCCCTACGCGGGCGCAACACACCAGACCGTGGGCAAGCAGCAAGGTGATCGCCGAAGGCATCATGCGGCTGGCGGCACAAGCATCTCGCTGTAGTAAGCGGGTGTGGCAGGCGGAGCCGGCGCAGCACGAGAGCTCGGAACAACGGGGATTCCAGGGTGAGCTCAGGCGAGGTGGGCCATGCAGTGACACCTCTTTAATTTCCGTCACTCCGCGGTCCCAGTGCACATGCCCAAAGTCCAGGCAAAAGACTACGGCGGGCTGCTCGGAAGAGTCAGCCAGTACGTCGCTGAGGAGCGGCTTGTCTCCATCAACGTTGGCGGTGCCGGACAAAGGTAGGGAAAAAAGGCTGGCAGCAAGGGTCCGCGCGGCTGCGAAAACCAAGAGCGCAGACCAGCGCAATATAGCGCAATGCAAACGCGGCAGTGCACGCCGCCTAATGTGTACTTGGACATACCGGGACATTTGCCAGCCGCTTCAATCAAAACTTCCTAACTCCCAAAGCTGAGAGTGTGCGCTGGCTGGGACGTGACGTGAACATCGTCCAAGAACCCGTGCAAACCCTTTTCCAACTGAAGTTGCGAGCGGAGGTCAAGAAGAGCGGAATGCTGCCCAGCACGGGGGGGCAAACGATCCCCTTACCGATTTGTTGCCGTTCGCTTTCCAGTAATGCGAGCAAGCCAGCCGCTACGTTTACTACGATGCGAAGCGCATCGAGCATGCTCGCACTGGTCGAGTTCCTACGCCGTCGATGCTCAGCACTGCCGTCGGGTTCAGCTTCGATCGATGTTTGCAGTGCACGGACGACGGCCTCGGAGCCAGCGCGCGTGCTCAGCGCGTGTACTGGAACGGCGCATGCTTTCAGAACACTTCCTCGAACTGCTGTGCCAGCGTCCGGGCCGCAAGGCGGCGGAACACGTCGCCCATGACCAACGCTCGCACTCCACTTGTAGGTTTTGTAAGCGCAACCATGCGGCCCAGTCGCAGCCACTGGACTGTCCGCGGCACAGCAAGTTTTCTTCACGGACTTGAGCTGGGACAGCTGACAGACGGTCGAAATTCAGGTGCAACGGCCCGTGCCTTGGCTCACGAAGTTCCGAAGGGGTTGGAGCGTCTCAGCAGTGGCGGGCGGACATTTCGCCGAGGTGTGCGACCCTCAGAGCCTGCCTCCCTCTGCCTCCGGTGCGCCCTCCGACTTTCGCACGGAACGGCCGCAGTTGCACTCTCGCGGCGCCTGACTCCGCCGGTGGGACACGCGCAAAACCGGGCACGCGACAAAGCAACAGGCGCGGTGCCAACAGGAAGAGTTTCCACCCCTCGCGTTCGGTGCTGGTTCCGTGTTCCTGCCGGCCTCATCCTTGATTTCCTCGCGATTTTTGTAAGGCATTCCGCAGGACACGGAGCTGGCACGGAGGCGATTTCTATTTTTTCCTCGCGCCTGTTTCCCACAGCCCCATGGGTCAATAAGTCTGAAATGAAAGCGCTTGCGTCGCCAGCCTCCGTCGACGGCTCGGCCAGGGTGCACGCCAGCACCCGGCTGAGCATCACCAGCCCTGGTAACGGGGCGGGCGATGGTGGCATCCACGGCTTGCTGCGAGCTATGCCACAGAGCCAGCCGAAACATCGATGTTCATGTCTGCTGGGCGGACATTTCCGGCAACACGTGCGCCGGTTTCCTGGCAGACCCTCGCAAAAGCCCGTTCAAGAGCCTGGGACGAGCACTCCGGAAGTTGCGCAGGCAGCCCTGTGATCACAGAGTGGGTCAAAGCGACCACGGCAGGCGCGCACGCGGGGCGATCGGCAGTGGCAAACGAAGCCGGCAGCAGCATTGCACGAGATGCGGCATCAAAGATAGAAAGATGCAACCCAAGCGCGTGTATCACTCGCCATGCAGGGACGCCTGATGTTGCCAGCTTCGCAAGAAAGTCGACGAAGTCGCGGTCAGGCCACTCGACGTCGCTGCCCTGAGCGAGCGCCGGGCACAGCTGCTCCTGCGCATGGGAGGTTTGGACTTGTTCCGCGCGGGGGCATCGTTGCATATGGACCGTCCTGGGCGGACACGATCGGCGCTTTGCGGGAGTGCCACACGACCACGCTCGTGAGGACGACGTTCTGCGCGGCGATGGCATACTATGGACACGATGCTTCGCCAATGACGTGACCAACATGACCACGAACGGTCGGCGGGCCGATGGGCTCCCACGCGCACGAGATCTTGAAGGAAGCTGTGATCGTGCTCGTTCCGCCAGCCGCATCGGTCGTCGAACTCCATCCAGCGGGTCGGGGCGGCCAGGGCAACGACCATCGTGTGGCATCAGGGGCGGTGGCAATCGCAGCAGCCGCAAAAGCAGCACCTGGAGGTGCGCGCAAGCTATGGCCACAACGGCACAGCCTTGCTGGGGTCCGGCGTGCGACAGCAACAACACTCGGGACGCAGAGTTGAAGTGAGAAAGGTGTGCGGAGGGTGCGCCGTCACCACGCCGCCACGGCACGCAAGGCACTATTAAACTTATAGGCATCGTGCCCAAGCATCGCCGCAGTTTCGGCGAGCGTGTGGCGTGGAGACATAGACGACGAATGCGGATTAGTCGCCGACGGCACGGGCGCGTTACGCACACTGCCTGCGGAGAATACTCGAACACAAATGCCACTGGGCATGACCCTGCTGTCCTCTGCCTGGTGGCTTTGTTTCATGCCGACTTGCCAGCTTCGGCTGCTGCACCTCGCGCTATGGCGGACTTGGACTTCGTAGGATGCGCTTATTGGGCATCTTGGGCCGATGCACTTCCGCCCTCGCACGTCGAAACCGTGAGCCTTCGCTCAAGCCTGCCCTATATTGAACGATGCGATTGCGGTCCTGCAGACATGGGATGCTGTGCTTTCGGCGGTGCCCCCATGGTGTCGCTTGCGGAGCCCCGCCGACCTTACACGCGGCTGGCAGCGTCCGGCTTCACGCAGAATTGATGAGTTTTGCCACCGTGCCATCCGCCGTGAGCTGAATGCACCAAGCATCACCAATTGCTATGTTGGACTTGCAATCGGGCTTCACCACCACAGGTCTCGTCTGAGGGACATGCCAATGCGAGGGCAGAGGGCATGCCAGCATGCAGTGAGTTCAAGCTTGCGAGGAGCTGCTCGGCTTCGGCAGGCAGGCGTGCAAGCAGCGCGGGGAAGGAGTCTTGCCAAGAGGCCCAGTAGGATCCAATAGGCAGTTCGCTCTCCGGCTGTAGCGGACCTCGGACGAAGACCACCATAGCCGAGCGGCCACTGTCAAGCCGACACAGCTGCAGTCGGCAGCGGCGAAGCAGCATCGCCTTAAAGCTGCGTGCATGGTGAGGTATGCCTCCATTGCCTGATTATGTCCCCGAGCAGACTCGGACTCGGTGGTAGAATCCGGCGGAAGCATGCGGAAGAGATAAACAGGAGACGCCAGGCCGCCTCGCCCGCGGCGTTCCAAATGCGCGTTTTGCCCTGGTGGAGTTGGATATTTGTTGTTGGATTCGGGCGCGAACCCAACGTGGTTCATGAGGGCAGCATAGAGAGGCGCGACTCGCTTGGGCGGGCACACG